TGTAATGAACTCCCCTGGGAATGGAGAGCTGCCGTGTATTTTGCACTTAGAGTTGATGATGGAATTTCTTACATTTTGTATTCTTTAATGTGATAATACAGACACAAGCATATTTTAAAAGGGAAAAAAAAATCGGTGACGACGATACTGTGTCAAAGCAAACAATCTTCTTTGATATAGCCCGTCTAAAGAAATACTGTGGGGTAAAGAAATCTCTTATAGGAGTTGGATTTTTAAGCTTCCTTTCAAAAAAAAATTCTAATCGATTTGCTACTTGTAGATTTTTTCTGAAAATTAATTTTGTGTTGAACTCAAATTCAGAAGATGAGGGCTCAAAGTTTGAGGAAGCTGTGCTATATTTTTTAATTATACTTAAGGTTTTAAAACTCCTGTAAAGTACAAAATTAACAGATGTAACCTTATTGCTAGGATAGTTGCTGGGATTTTGGCTGAGGGAAATAAGTTAAATGTAGGTAAGGCACATCATAAAATTGAAGTCAATGACAAAACTTCCATGAACTTCTAGGAGATCAGTTTCACCATAGATGTGTTTTGGCAAGCACTGTGCTGAATGTGAGGTACTGTGTTGGGATGTATTTTCAAAGCCGGTTTTGTGAATCCTAATAAGCTGGGAAAGAGGATAGAGGCCACATGCTCTGGTGGGTGCAGTATTGGATTTGGAGCTTGGGAGACACAGTTCTGTTCTTGTTCCTGAGTCTGAATGACTGTAGGTTGAGGGAGACCAAGTAATTCACCTTATTTTGCCTTAAATAATATTTCCTGAAATGTGCTTTCAAATGTAATGGTGAAAAATACTAAACATCCAGATAAAGGAAGAACCTCAGTTTTTACCTTATCATTTTCAATGTAGCTCCAGTCAGCTTCAGAATTGTGTTTAAAAAAACAAAAAACAATAAACAAACAAACAAAAAACACTCAAAAAAACCCCAAACCAACCTCCCCCACCCCCCAAACAAACAAAAACCCACCACCACCACCAGAACAGACTAAACTAAAAATGGAAGTGTAATAAAATCGTTCTTCTAGCATGTATTTTGGACCCAACTGACGTGGACTTATGAACAGGATATACATGGAGGCAAATGAGCCTTTGAAACAGTTGCCTTTATTTCAGTATGCTAAAAATAACTGATTTCTGAAGAGAAAACTTTTCAAGATGATATTTGGTGGTTGACATTTCAAAGATTAAAGTTATTAATACTCTGGTAGGTGATTTGGAGATCTGCTTGTCTAATGCCAAGAGCTGTAACTCTTTGCTAATGAAATTTTCATCCTGTTTCCTGAATTATCGTGTTAATTCTAATGTCCAATTAGAATTAATAACGGACCTTGCCTCAAGACCAGAAGTGAATGAAAAGTAGCTTCTAATGAAACTTCAGATTTTACCATTTCTATGACTGTAGATACTTTATCTGCTTGTGAGATTAATCTGTGTGGACACCGTGACCCTTTTTTCTTTAACTCGCTTGTCAGAACTCTTGTCGCAATGCAAACTGGCTGGTTTGTAGTAGTTGGATTGGCAGTTTGGAGAGGTGATGTTTGTTGCTCAAATGCGATTCTCTGCTTTCATGTACAGTTATCAAAGGTGAATGAGCAGTTCTGTTATTGCTCTTATTGCTGCTCCACTCTTGCTCTTTTATTCACTTGTCTTGTTTTAAATTCAGATTGAGCCATCTGATATGGGACCATGTCATCTTGTGTACTTGCACAGAATCTAATACAATCTAATCTGGTTACTAATTGGAGCTTATGCAATGGAGATAATTAGTAATAAATGTATAGCTGTAATAGCAAGCAGTGTTCACAGTATGCAATACAATGCATGGCGGTTAAGCTCTTATGTGCTCTTTTAGTTCCTATTGAATGTATTTGAGAAATTGTTCTTCTTTCTTTGCCTATGTGGTGTTGCCCAGAGGCACTCTCTCTATTCTGGTGTAAGTGCTTACGCTGCTAATACCTTAATTAACTTCTTCAAAGATAATCGGTCAGGGCACATCTGGATAATATTCAAAAATGTATTGATCAGCAGTCTACAAGATTTCTCCAAGAAAGCTTGAAGTGTCATCTGGAGAAAACTTAAAGCCTGATGTTAAGCACGTGAACTTACGCTTTTTGAGTTAAACAAGCAAACAAAAAACCCCACCCAAACCAACCAAACCCCCTCATTAATTAATAAATTCCATTTCACCAAAACCTTGGCATGGTTGCATATCTCTTTTGCTTCTTGCACATCTTCAGTGATCAGCTGCTCATAGAACACTTCTGGTGTCAGTCCATCCTTGACCAAATTTCTTCTATCTTATGTTGGTAATAATTAGAATTTTGACAAATTTTGTTGTTTGGACCACATTCAGAGGTTTTTTTTCAATAGTCTATTAAATTGGGAGGTGGAGGTGTTTTCAGACTTTCAACTTAAAAACATCCAAACAAAAAAAACCCTTTCAAAACTGAGATCTCTGTCAGTCTAATGTCTTTCTCATGCAGAGAACTGTTCAGCTTCTAAGTTAGGCAAATATATTGTCATAAGACCTGTGACAAATGGGCCTACATTAAGGTAATTTATTGTCCTGAGACCAAATTTTTTTTTTTGTCTTCAAAGTAAGCACATGTTGTTTCTCAGTAGCTCTGTGAAGTAAGATATGATTGTGATTCCTGGTGATCTTTGATTCGAACTCTTTTGCATGCAGTTGTAAGATGTAAGGTGCATGCAACTACTGTTGACCCTGCCATTTAGAATGTATGGTATAAACAGCTAACAGTGACAAATTTTAAAAAGAAAGAAATCATCAGAGGAGAGATGTAACATTAGTGCTCTGGTTTGAAAGAGAAGGATTCTCATCACTAGTTGGTGGTGGGCTATCCAGCTACCAACTCTTAAGTAAATTTCCATAGATTCTGTTTTGAGTGAAAGATCTAGAGAAAGTGGTGGTGTGCTACTCTGACTTTTGATGTTAGATTAATAGATTTTGATGAAACCTTCTGTGTGTCGTCTGAACCTGTAGATGTTTTAGGTGGCTGAAAACAAAGCTTTTAACTGTTTGTGGTTTGTGGGTGGTTTTTTTTTTCCCCCTTCCCCAAAGCAGTTGTAAGATGTTATTGTATCACATTTGTAATGATGATGCAAGTATGTTTTTTCAAGTGCTGGAGCTCTTGAAGCATTAGAACTTGTTTCTGATGCTACTTTGTCATTGAGGCAAATTACAATGAAAGCATATACTTAAAACAGCAATGAATATGGGAGTGCAGAGATGTCCAGTTAAGATTATTTAAAAAATTAAAAGTAAAGTAGTGTGCATATTTTTTTTTCCTCTTACTTACACACCTCTTCTTCCCTCCCCATGGATTCTTTAATTGGTGAGAAAAACACAATGTGCTCTTTATAATTAGTTTTAGTTTTGAATAAATTTACACGGTTTGAAAAATGAATGTTGTCTGTAGATCATTCTTGCTTCTGAAGAACTGGCACCAAGTTATCTAGTTGAATGTATATTGAATTTTTTTTTTTCATAAAGCATCTCATGTCTCATGTGCAGCTTTCAGCTCTCCTAATGTTGCATTGATTTAATCTACTCCCCCTGCCCCTGACTTTAGGTTTTCTGCTCATATAAGTCTTGGGGTTTTTGTGGTGTTTTTTTGTGGTTGGTTTTTTTTTTTTTTCCCCCAACTGATAGAATCATAGAATCATTTAGGTTGGAAAAGACCCTCAAGATCATCAAGTCCATCTTGAAGTACTCATCTTGTGTGTGGAGAAATGCAAGTTGAATTGATCTGTAGTGAATTATGATTGTAGTCATAATACTGAAAGAAAGTATTTATTTAAGCTGCACATCTTGTTGATTCCAGAAAGGCACTTTTCTGGTCTTTTTTGCTTTGCCAATCTTCTGAGCCCCATCAGCAGTTTCTATCTTCCTTTACCATATCAGATTCAAGCTGCTAGTCTTCACTTTCAGCTGCTTGTGGTATACGCTCAGCACCTTTATTACTTCTCATTCACTGACAAGATGTTGACTCATTGCAGCTGGCCTTTGATACTAGTTTCCACTGAAATTTCTTCAGTTTAGGCTGCTGCACAAGTTCGAGAAGACCTTTGTCTGCGCAGCTGCCTTTTTATTCTTCCTGAAACTACTTTAGTACTCTTGCTGCAAAGAGCAAAGAAAACTTTACAAAGGTGTGTTACAGCTATCATGCTGTTTAGCGTCTCTTGTGGTTTTTATCTTTTTTTCCACTCTTTTTTTTCTTTCTACTTGTTCACTGGTATTTCTTGTGTGCAGAATGTTACCTCTACAGAGGTATACCTCTATAATGGCTTGGGCTCCCAAGTAATGTCATAATGTAAAGAAATTTTTAGAAAATTCAGATGTCTGCAACTGAACCAAGCTCACAAGTTGCTGGTGATAGTGTAGTAAGCTTTGGGGTTTTCTTTGTGTGTAATGTGAGAGGAATGTACCTTGGCTAAATTTGTCAGTATTTTAATGAAAAGTGGCTTGATAGTTGGCTGGGACTTTGCAATACTGCAGTGTTAGATAACCAGTGATAGACAGGAAAGGTGTTTCTTTTGAATGAAACTCTGCAGATTTATACCAGGCAAAGTTCTGATCCACTTAAAGAAAAAACTGGAGTGAAAGATCTTTTAGCTGAATCTAACTGAATTATCCTCATGTATTTCTTACAGCATTAAAACCTCTGTTATTTTTAAGAGATTTTCAGGCATTGTTTTATCTGGACACAGCAATATTCTTATATATGTATATGCTGAACTTTCATCTTTGAAATATTTTCTTTGTGATAATTGCATTGAACTGAATTATCTACTTTCCTGAAACAATAGGTTTAAACTTTTAACTGTAAAAAATTCCTTCTAAAATGTTTTTTTATAATGTCTGTCATGATTGCTTTTTCTTAGCACTTAATAAAAATCGAAATAGTAGAGATTTAGAGGATGTATGGTTGAGTATAATATCTTAACATTGCCTTTGCAGGTACATGATGCTTATTGATGGCAAGAATGAAGTTTATATGATTGATAGAGACAATTCGATTTTTCATGTATCTAATCTGGAATTTCCGTTTCGTAAAGATCTTCGCACACATCTAACAAACACTCTTCTGGATGGGGTAAGGAGCATACTGTATAATTATTGTAACAATTTCAGTGCCGTTTGCTTTTGTTCAGATACAGGGCCAAGTTTTTAGTCCTGGATCAATGAGTGAATCATGGGAGTGCAGGAGTAATATAGATTCAATCCCTGGCAGAATGTGGGAATCACACTTAATAAGTCATTTCTTATCTACAGAATAGCAGTGACGACAGCCCTGGGTGGAGCTCTTTGTCTTTGAAATAAATCAAGGTATTGAGATGACATACTCTGAGTATGAGAAAAGGCTTGAAGAGAATCTAAAGAAATTATTGCAAAACCTCATCTCTTGTTATAGCTTTATATTTTGATACAGTAACCATGGTCAATTTGATCCAGTTAATTTAAATATTTCTAAAATTTGATAAAATTTTCATCATCTTTTGATAGACTTTGTGAATTGCTGTCTTTGCTTCTGTCACCTTTATTTTCAGCTCATCTGAATTATTGACTGATTCAGCAATGGCTTAATTATATTTGTTTAAGACTAAAACATTTCTAAGTTGTCATGCTAATTTAAATTATGTAAACTTGGTAATGAACCTTTTTAAGCTAGTTGTAAAAGAAGCTGTAAAATATCTGTATTTGTTGTTTGAAGGCTGGAGTATTCTCAGTAAACTTTTCAGAAGAGTAGCCACAAGAAGAGATTGTTCCTTTCTTGACCTTCCTATTTTAGATGAGCAAAAGAACTTCATGAACTCTTATACTAAATACCTGTCAACGTAGATGAATGCAGATTCGTATCATGTTGCAGTAGCATTGAAGGCTCTATACATTGCTGTTGCTCTTGCTTGCTGAAGTACTGAATATCTGAGATGATCTTCCATATTGGTCTTCTGAAGCCTAATGCACCTTTCGGATACGGGAGACCATATTGTCATTGTTAACTTTCTTTCCTTTCTCAGGCCTTTGTTGTCAGTATCCTTTTTGAAATGTCACTTTCGTGAATGATCTGTCTTACTGAACACACATTTATATGTGAAGCATGTATAAATGGAATCTGTGAGGATAATTATTGCAAGGAACAATGTATTGTCTTGGGGACAGAGAAGGGAATATTTTTCACCACCTCTGCTTCACTGAAAAATTGAGAGCATAATGCAAGAAATGCTATGCTATCAGCTCAAAAGTGGTTGCACAAGCTGTTGTGTCTGGTAGGAGCCTCTTCAGCCAGGCAGCTTCCTAATGACGTACATAATAATATTCTTAATGATATACATCAGGTTCCATACTGTTGAGATAAAAAGCCTGGTACTATTTTTTTTCCCCTGCTCTTTCTAAGGCTCTTGAGAAAGTAATGGCTTGCCAGTGTACATATTGTGCAATCCTAGGTGTTCTTCAGGGAAACTGCTGCTCTTTTTTTTGTGTTTCAGAACAGATGTTTTAGGAAGGGTGGCTAATATATACATGGTGGAAGACAGGGATGCACATATATTGAGATATGTGCGTAAATGTGGCTATGGGGCATGAGAGAGGTGCTCTGACCTGGTGTGTTGTGTTTCCCAGATCTATAGTTTAAGTCTCTTAAGAATAAATGAAGTTCTCTCAGTTACCCAGGACATAACTTTGCTTAATTTGTTCTTTTGTAAAAGTTTGACTGTTATAGTGCATTTTAGTATTTCACTTTATTTGCATAAAATTAGTCTTAATGTGATTTTTTTTGTTGTTTTTTTCCCCCCACCATGAAGTGGAAAGCAAAATGACATTAAATGAACAAGTGTTGGTCGAATGAAGTACCTTGAGATCAAACCAAAACCTTTCAATGGATAAATACTTTCCATAGTACAGATTTCAAAATTTATATAAGTATGGTCAGTTAAAAAAAAGAAAAAGCTGTTGATGGAATGTTTTTCTTTTCAATTGAAATTCCTTTCAACAGGTTTGAGAATAAAATTTGCCTATTATTTGAAGCATCAGAACAACTTAACTTCCTGATTTAATATTTGTTTAATGTTGGTGCCAAATAATAATTTCCATGACTGTTCCTTTACTCTGGATATATGCATGCTTTCTTTCTTTCTTTCTTTTAATCCATGGGAAGAAAAATTTGGCTTTTTTGTGTTAACATATTTTGCTAATTAGTGCTGAAGGGCTTTTGAAGTTAATTCTTTAATTACAGGTTGAAGTAGTTCATATTTATTGCCCTTGAAGTAGCTTTCTCTCTTTCAGAGAATGAAAGTATAGAATGAGGTGGCCCAACTGGCATTGCTTTACAGTAATCTTAAAAAGTATGAGAAAGAAGGAAAGACAAAACAGAGATATCAATGCCATACAGCAAAACAAATACTAGCGTTAAGAATACAAAAGATTAGGTAATTTCCCCTAACTTTATTTAGAATGACAGTGTATATAGAACTTTCATAAAGGCAATTTCCATGAATTCAGTGATCTGTTAACTTGCTTCAAGGCTTCTGGTGCAAGCCTTTCATGTGGTTGTCTTCGAGAATTTCAAATGCATTTATGGTTCACTTCAGGCAGAAATTACTTGCAAACTGTTCTTAATATATATGGTCAGTTATGTCTTGGGTGATGAGAGATCTCCTGCAGTACTCTCTGCTCAACTCCAGCTCTTCAGTTGTGATTGTTTTCTTGGCATGGAAGGAAGTTTTCTGCAAAGCCCATTAAAGCTGATTTGAGTATTAACTATAAGTGACTAGTATAATATGAAATATTCCTTTAGAAGCCAAGTGTTTTGTATCCGTACTGCTATCTGAGGGAATATATAGATTTTTGTTCCAGTGTTTTGGCTGTCATGCAACAAAACTAATTAGTTATTTTCAGGAACTTTCTTGGCATTCTGCTTAGCTTTGGAACAGTTGAGTAGAAAATGCAGAGGCATTCTTAGGCTTGAAATACTTTTTACAATTTCAATACGATTTTGTATATATTTTAATTCATTTATATATAAAATATTGTTCACACTTGAAGACTTATGAGGGCCAAGGACTCCAAAAGTGGGGAGCGAGATTGAGATTGATTTATGTTTTTGTATCAGTACAGACCTCAGCTATTTGTAAGCTCTCTCAGAAATGGCATAACTTACAACTTATTACGTTTGCAAAGGCTGGTACTTTGTGCAAAATAGATTTTAAAAGGAAAAAAAAGAAAGCTCTTCACTCCTGAAATACAGCAGTGGCTAGAATTGTGTTAAAGGTAAATGGACAAAGGAAAGGCAAGGCACAGGAGGAAAAGGAACAATAAACAGATGCGTGATTAGACCTGATTCCATACTCTGTGTCAACAAAAAATACATTCTGCAAGTGGCTGGTAAAATGAAATCCTTTGCTTTGTGATTAAATTTTGGATTACTTTAAGTCCAAGTTGCTTGCTAGATATGTGATTCAAGGGAAAAAGAAAAAGTCCATGAGCTGTCAGTCCAGCATTGTTCTTTTGGTACTTATCCAGCTAAAAGCTCTTAGCACAGTTGCTGTTTCTAATACGCTGTAAGACTATGCTCTGCAGCACCAGAAGATTAAGAAAAGGAGATTAACACCAGCACAGTTTTGCCAGATTACATCAAAGAAACTGGCCATTGGACCTTGTTCTGCAAGCCCGCAGGTTAAACTAATACCTAAACTAGCATCTAATGGTCAAGTGGTGAAGATCATACTTACTAACAGTGGTAATTTTAAAACACACAATAGTGGCTGTAAATCTACATGGGGTCTATAAAAGGAAATACATGGATGCAGGTGCGTCTTACAGATACTTTTGTGTTCTACTGTCATGTCATATGAGTGGTTTTGTGTTTTAAGTTTTTAGTTATCTAAAAATTGTCTTACAGTATCAGGTTATTACTCAGATCAGAATGAGTGAGTTTGAATGTGATCAGTTTCTCAAATACTACATTTTCCCAGCACTCTCTGAACTTGCCTTTGAGGTCTACTCCCTGAGGTATTTTTCAATTCTCATAATTTCAAGGAAGATTCTGAAATCAGACTGTTAAAGAATGATGTGTTAGAGTATTTCTAATCTGAATCATTCTTATCATCACTTTACAACTTTTGCCTTGTGACAGTTGTATTGGTGTAACTAACGGAGCAGTGAATGTTGTTGTCATGATGGAGATGAGCAGTGCAGGAATTTGTCATCTCTGCTTCTAAGGCATATTGTGCTATTCTTTATTTGCTCTGGTAGCTGGGATTTCAGTCAGGATGTGAAAAGAGAACAAGAGGCAGGGGAGGAAGAAAAGAAGTGAGGATGTGAGGAAAGAGGCTAGTTTGACCAGTAATAGAGTCAAAAAGGTTTATACATGTCTGAAAAAGAGAAAAAGTTTCTTTATAAAATTAATTCTGTGTTAAAACTGAACATTCCAGAGAAGGTTTAAAAAGAATTCTTGGTCCTCTTGGCTGTATTTTATAATTCTTCTTAAACTGAATATCCAGAGATTCAGATTTTGAAAATTAGGCGTAAAGTCTTGTAATACCAGGCATTGAATACCATTGAAATGTTTTCAGGGTTTTGCATACAAATGCTAGTTTTGCATCAAAGCTGAGGCTCTGAATATGCATGCTGAGGAAATGAGTCCTTAAACCTGTAATATATGCTCAATTAAATGAATTTTAAAAAATTGTTTCACCTGCTAATGTGATTGAAACTTTAAAGAAATAGGGTAGCATTCCTTGGTTTCAGTTTTACTTTGTTATTCATTTCACCTAATTACTATCAGGAATTCCTGGTGGGATTTTTTTTTCCCTTTTTTTTTCTTACTTTTTTCTGCATTATATCTTTACACACTCTTCCAAGTTTGAACATCATGCCTTCTTTCTCTCTTAGGGTGTACCTACGCCATCTGTTCTTGCAGTTAGTTATAAAATGTATTGTCAAAGAAGGCATTGCAGCGTTGCATCTGCTGTTCCTTTGATAGCTCACTGGTGTCTTACGTAAATACTGGAAAGTAACAGAATGGCATTTTGTTACATCACTTCCATGTAGACTTTTTCAAGTGTTATTTGACAGTACCTGTGACTAAATGATTTTTAGAGTTAAGAATAAGGTATTGTAATGTTACAAAGGAATATTTTTCACTTACTGGATTTTTTTTTTGTTGCTTTTTGTTTTTTTTTTTTTAATAACATGGAAAGATGTGTAAGGTCACTTCAGGTAGTCATTCACACCACCTGTGAATGCTGCATTTGGCTGTGAAAGCCCAATCTCCATCTCAGTATTGTGTTCACAGAAGATGAGATTCCAAAATATTAAGTAGGCAACTTATAGTTCCCAATGGTTTAGTTTTAAATGCTTCAAGCTTTGTGTTTGCTTTAAAACAAATCCATGTTTTTACAACTGCTTGCTTATTTTTCAAAGCCAAAAGTGATTAAATACTAGGTACAATTAAAGAAGCTTGAATTGTTTACAGACTGAAAATCAATCTTATGTTGAGACTCTTGTTTGGGTTTACTTTGTAGAAGTTATGGATTCTAAAAGAAGTTAAAAGGTTGTCAAACGTTAAAATGCTACTGACCTAGTAAGAAACAAACTAAACAAAATTAATTTGAGTTGATGTAAGGTTCTCTTTTGGAATAATTCTTGAGCTTACAATTTTATTTTCATCATGTTATAGTGAAATATTTTCACCTTTTCCAATTGTTTTATCTTGTATGTGTGAATTTGGAATTTAAACTTGATAATGGCAGCAAAAAATCCTTAGCTGATACAATTATGTATTTTTGTATGTACCATTAAGTTAAGGAAACATTTTTGTGTTTGGATGTTGATTGTTAATAGTCTTTCTTCTAGCTGACATATTTTCAAGATGGTTTACCAGTATATATTGAATGTTAACTAATTTCATGTGCTACAGATAGTATCTGTGATATTTCCATTTGAAGGAACTCTACTTTTTAATCACAATGCAACATTCAAGCAAATTGCAGTTGTCACTGCTGCCTAGGACACTCTTAATGTGAAAAGATCCAACTTGAGCATAGAAAATGGACGTTAATGCTTCTTCTTTACTTCTTTGCTGTTGTACTTCTTATTGTAGGTGAGATTTCCAAAAGTGCATGGTTCACTTAGGATCGCAGTTCTTGCTGAGGTTTCTAAAAACTCATTATTCACTCAAGAAAGGTAGTGATTTTGAAAGCTGTGGGGAAACTGATGTATAAATGTTGCAGATCAGGATGTGGAGTCTTAGTACAGCTTCCTGGCTTCTTACTGAATGCTTCACGAGAAACATTTAGGACCATAATAACATTTTTATAATCTTGACCTATTGTAAATCTTCCTGATACTAAAGATGTGGCCAGTGTTTGATTGCATGACACTTACAGGTATGTGCACTAAGTATAAATGTGTTGATGTTATTCTATATTCATGAAATAAATGTAAATGTCATCTCTTTTCTTTTAAGGAAATGATCATCGACAAGGTTAATGGACAGGTTGTCCCTCGGTACTTGATATATGACATTATTAAGTTTAATGTAAGTATTTTCAGTTATTGCTTTTATCATTAGTTATTGATTCTCATTTCTATTTTAATCTTATTTTTATAAGTAAGAGCTTCAGAGTAAATTTAAACACCGAAAGTGTTTGGGTATTTTGTAACTTGATAACAAGCAGTGCATCAGAATTAAGATTGAAAGCAGCCTTACAATAGATGTTGATTTGTTTCCACCTGCTCAAGAAAACATGGTGGTTTGAAACAGTCCGCTAAACACTGTTGGAAAACTTGCCATTTCTAGAGCATGTTTGAACTATTTAGGCAGTGAAATTGAGAGGGGGTGGAGAAGTTAGCCTGTAAGTGGTGTATTTGTTACCAGAGCATCACAGTGGTCCTTGTTAGGATGCTCCATCACCTTTTTCTCAAATTTCTCTTTGAAACCAGGCAACTGGTCCTCTGTTAAGTCCTCAACAGCAGGCTCTCCTGTTTACACTGGCTATAGGGCAAAGAGCTTAGCCTGGCTTTTCTGTGTCCAAGTTAACTAAATACCATGAGCAGTGTTGCTTTTTATGAGCAGAAATGGTGAGAAGGTACGTTTATTCTTAAAGCTGTATGTTTAAAGTTTCAGCCTAAAAACCAAAGATCCCAGACTATAAATAGTTGTGTTCAATTTGCCCCTTGCAGCTCTGGCATTTGAAAAGTTAAGTGCTTAAGAGACAAATGTCCATTTGAGATTTAAGAGAAGTAGAGGTCTGCTAGTAATGGATCAGCTGGAAGTAAAAGTAAGGGTTTTCATTTTATGTACAATACTATGATTTTGGGAGAACATAATGGAATCATGGAGCTCAGTCCCAGTACATCACAGGATCTTTCTTCAGACTTAGTCAGGATTTCATCTGAGTATGACCTAGAAGAGGAAAGGAAGTCACCTTTAAACAAGGATGATGTGATCATCAGGAGAGAGTGCTAACAGAAACTTAACAGTGAGTAGAGGCTATGGAAACAAATGAAGGAGAATAATAAGGGAGAAAAATGAGAGAAAGTGATGGACAAAACCCTACCTTTTATAAATTTTAATCACATGGTTATCGGTGAGGCTTATTGTTACTTCGCTTTTCAATTTTGCTGTGGTATATCAGGAATAAACAACAGCAGCCTTCTAGAAGTAACTGAAGGAAAACAAGAAAATAGACTGGTTGAAATATGTACTGTGTATTTGGCTCTAGATGTTTACACAGAAAAAGTCTTAGGAAGAAGGAAAAAATAAAAATTGGGTTTCAGTGATTGGGAGAGACCTATACTGGAATTCTTAGGGAAAACATGGATATAATCTATCTTGGCTGTCTCCATGATAAATTTTGTATTGAATTCTGATGTTTATCACCTATAGCTGCTGCAAAAGTCAGTCTTCAGGGATGCTGATGGAACCGTTTGACTTCATTTCTTTTTAATCACTCTTTCTGTGACAGCTAGTTTCTCGAAGCTTGTGGTAATGCATCCCATTGTGTTATAAGAGATGCCTATGTCAGGAAAACCAAAAGATTCTTCAGGAGATTAAAAAAGATTTTTTTCTTGTCATCCTTTTTAGTCTGAATCATGATGTTGATTGTTATTAATAGCAACTCAAAATATGACATTGCTCTGTCACTCCTTTCATCTCACATGCTAGAATCAAATTCATAGAAAGGAAGCTGTATGCTAGTGAAATAAGCCCACCTTTTGACCTCAAGTCTTTGATGAAACCCAGAGCAATCCCTGCTTTTTCTTTTCTGCTTCACTTGGTTCTTTCTATAAAGAGCAACTCAGAGTACATAAAATCATCTCTCAAAGCCCACCCTGAGAGGCTGCATACACCTATTCTAAGAAATAAAACTGTGCAAGGGGCGGGGTCCTGCTACTGAAACTTCATCCCCTTTTTAAGTAGTTAAAATGGTCCCTGGCACAGTTTTGGCCCTGGCTGGCTACAGTGCTCTTGAGCAATTCTCAGGAATAGTTTAAAGTTTAACATTGCTCAGGGACCATTATTCGCAGGTGTTCTGAGATGTCCTCATCCTCTTTTGGAGAGTGAGAGTATGAACGTGGTCAGACAGCTGGTGGCTTCAGGGCCAGAGATGAGGCCTTTGCCATGTTGGTTCACCGGTGTAGTTGTACCCAGAGCGTCTTCTAGTTCACAGACTTGGGGCTTACCTCTCTGAAGTTCAGAAAGTGCTGTTTTGAGAAATGTCAGGTATTCTGTTGTCAATATGCCTTGAGGGACGTAGGGCAGAGGACAAGGTGGCTCCTTACGTTGAAAAGAAGAGAGGAAATAAGGTGGAATAAAAAATAACAGTATATCATGACATACGGAAGAATTCTGTTATGGAGAGTAAAGGAAAATCCAAGAAGCATCAAAACTAGTATGCCACTTCTGCTTGTCTATGGAGAAGATGGTACCAATATGGGAAAGATGTCGTTATCCTGTCAAGTCGTGTTTGGCATGTGAAATGTTTCTAGAAGTAGAAATCAGTTGTTACACAGTTTATCTTGTCTTACAACCTAAATGGAAATTTTTTTCTAAGAAAATTTTCGCTAAGAAAATTTTTCTCATTGAAAAATGACAAATTATTTCTTAAAAATGCATGTATTTATTTGGCTTTTAAAATTTTAATTGAGGGTTTTTTTTGTCCACATTTATGTCACTGGTTGTGCATGTGCTCTGCACACATGAAATTTGGATTTTTCATATTCCTCTGAACATAAAACGCTAATTCCTTATGGTGTTTAGTCTTAATGAGTACAGAGCTAAATCCCTGCAATGCCTGTTACTTTTCAGCTTTCTGATTTGTGTCTGCATGTAGTTGAGTTCATTATTATAATAACTGTAACTGTATGGCATTACCTCTTTCACCTGTATAGTGAATAAAAAGTTCAAATTTGGTGGGTAATTCTAGTGGAGCAGAGGAAGCTGACAATAGAGTAATTAACAGCCCCAGAAGTAAATACAAGTAAATCCAAATCCCTATTCATCAGAAAAAATCCACAAAAGAACATCTTCATTCTCCAGTCGTCTTTGAGACAGCTGTTCCTGAGAAACCTTGTTCTGAGAGGCTTTTTCTCATTATATTTATATAGCTCATGATATATATACCGATATATATCATATTCAATAGCTACATATACATGTATAGACACTAAACTTAAGCAACTACTTTTTTCTTTAGTTAAGTAATAAAAGCTAATACTGGCATAATGTAGGATCTGATTAATGCATTCTTAGCAAAGATGCTGAAAATAAATAGTACTTTCTTTTTCCTTTCTAACCCTGGCCTTTAAATTTTTAAACTCTAGCCAAGTTTTCATGAGACCAGATTGCAATGGTAAGAATAGACTGAATGCTTGAAAAAGAATAATTATTTTAATGTTTAGAAAGGAGATAGAATTTTGATTAAATTTCCTAATGCTCTGTGCATTAAATTAAGTCAAGATCAAGATTTCTTTGGTTGTCATTATGCATAACAATGCTGTAGCTATTAGATAAAATTTGTCATGGTAAACAGATATGCTGGTCATAAATCCTGCCCACAGCCAATGTGCTCTTTGAATTCATGCATGAAAATTTTTTGTTTTAAATCCCTGTAAAATATTACCATGTCTGACTTTTCCGTTACAAACCTCATTTTAAAGTGATATAAAGCTCACAGTACATGCTGTCTCATTTATTAGCCTATTAACCTTATCTTAAAAATGTACTGTGAAAATTTTGAGGGCACAATTCAGAGATGCAAGCGTTTAATTGCATCTTTTCTGTTTACAAAGGCACCTGGCTGCCAGTGACCCTTCCGCTCTTACTTTTAATTCTGAGGTTATTTCTCAAATGGTACCACGTCAAAATACAAATTTAAAATGCTTTTGTTACTAATAGTACCCTGGAAAATGAGGATGCCGTGCATGTGTCTCCCGGTTTCGGCTGGGATAGAGTTAAATTTCTTCCTAGTGCTGTGTTTTGGATTTTGTATGAGAAGAGTGTTGATAAAACACTGATGTTTTCAGTTGTTGCTAAGTACCCTGCTGGTCAAGGACTTTTCAGCTTCCCACACTCTGCCAAGTGCACAAGATGTTGGGAGGGAGCATAGCCGGGACAGCT